CACATGAACATACATAAGAAAATAGGAGAAAATACTCAGTGTGGAAGATGCATGATACTAAACCAAAGGCCACAGAAGAGACACCTTCCTAAGAAATTAAGACTACACCACAGTGAGTCGAACAAGCGGCACCCCAACAGGCAGCCGCCACCACAGAGCAGGCAGCAAGCTGGGCCCCAGGGTCCAAGGGCAGCAGAGACGGGGCCCACACGGCTCACACTGCATCCCCACCGGCCCCAGCCAGGCACAGCCACGCGGATGACCCGCAGTTCACCTGGCGCACGATCCCGCTGCGATCCTGCCACTGACATGTGCTCCGGGAAGCCACACGTGACTTTAAATGTACACATGGCTCAAACCATTACTCGACTGTGAGGTTCCTGCTTTAATGGACCTACTCGGAGATTAGACTCTATGCAAAAACTACAGAGAAGCGCACCAATGCTGGCCAGGCTGCGTGAGACGCCAGTGGCCAGGGAGTGCCCAAGCCAGGACAGAGGACTGACAGGGCCCTGACAGCCCACATGGGGCAACCCACTCAGGACACCAGCCATTCTGGAACAACTGGGAAGCTGCTGGGCTGCCTCTCCCTCAGGCCCGCCAACAGCCCGCAGTGCTTTTCCAGCACCCTCAAACACGGCATGGCTCACTGCACGGACCCTTCCAACGGCCCATGAGGACAGGTGGCCCAGGCGGAGCATGGAGCCCAGCAGCCCAGAGCCCTGGCATCATAGCAAGCAACCTGAGTCTTGGGGAGAGGTTACCAGCCCCGGCTGAGGGGTGTTAGGTGCCACAGGCCCCATGTTAGGGGCAGGCAGGGCGGCCAGGCAACTGGCTCCTCCCCACCCCACTGATCAAGGCCAGAAGAGAGGAAACAGGGAAGCAGGAAAGGGCTACCCCCCGTCAGAAAGGGGCACCCAGAAGGGAAAGGGACAAAGGTCACAGGCAGTAGTGGACCACTGAGAAGCCAGCAGAGAAGGGAGAAAGGAAACCCAAGGAGCCAAGCAGCCCTGTGCCAGGTCAAGAGCCACGTGGGCTCAGGGCCCTCTGCTCCCCCAAGGTACAACCCAGATCGTTTTGATCAACTATTTCGTGAAACCAAGTTTCTTAGGGGTTCCAGAACTATTCCAAAAAGGGAAACCCCAACCCAACCCATCCTAAAATATAAATGGGTCTCGCCTGCAGTCACCTGGTTTGGGATCATCCAGACAAGACTGGACTTGGAACGCGAGGTGTCGGCCTGACATTCCACACGTGGGATAGGGAATGTTTCATATCCTGATCCACAGCGCACCAAATGGCTATTTCATGATCCAGTCACGCCTTTAATGGGTCTTGAGTATTTTAAATCACTACACTGATGGGCAGTGACTGCAACGCGATTATCAGGGGAACTCGATGATATGGGTGGGCACGGTAACATCGTTTTTCATGTGAAACCTTCCTAAGAGAGCACATCAATGATAACTTTAAAAAAAAGGGAATAAAGATACTGGTATTCGATACCAAGTTGAAGAAAAATCCGCCCCAAAATCTTAGGTTGAGAAGTCACGAGGGCTTAGTTAATGTCTAGGGAAGAATCACAATACACCACTTTTTAGGGTTTCCGTCCATAGGTTAACAATTGTATACAAACTGAAATGCCTCTGATGACCTCAAACCAACAAATAAAATGTCACCTAGAGAAGAAAACATCTGGGTGGAAATGCCCGACAAGCCTCCCTCGGGCTGCACGCTGCACAGACCTGACGCTCCAGGGGCGGGGGGCTGCACAGCCCCGGCCTCTCGTCAGCTGCCATTCCTGGGGACATCCAGGCTGGCACCAGTCACCGCCATGTGGCTTGCTGCCGCAGGGAGTCTCCAGCAGGCCCCTGTCTTCTGTGAGGGCCCAGGGGACCTCGGAGCACCCAGCCCTGCGCCCTGACCACAGCGAGCACGGACAGAGATGCCCAACATCGCTTCCGATGAGTCAGAGCTGCAGGTCCCTTAGCAAAGCCTCCCCACAACCGCTGAGAGGCCTGTCCTCTTGTCCGTCCTTGTTTGCATCAGGACACACACAGCCACCAGCGGGCAGCAGGTGGGAGGTGGGGGTGGGGAGAGAGGCACGATGTGCTGCACCTGGGGACTCATGCACCCCCCTGGACGGGAAAGACCAGGACGCAGTGACTCACAGCATTTATTAGACCACGAAACTAAATGTGAACTTTCACCATTCAGTGGCCCAAGCAGTGAAGCAGATGCCATAAAGCCTTCCAAGAGCAGACTGGGCATTGGCGAAGCGGGACCGCGTGCTCCCAGGCTGACCCATCGGCACTCTGCAGTGCTGCAGAGATGCACGCTGGGGGCGGCGGTCACCTCCTGGGCGTACTCGCCTCCTGGGCTGCACTCTGAGGCAGACCCAGCACAGGCACCCTAGCTGTCGGAGTAGCTTTCGCAGAGTCCACAGGCGACCCACAAACCTCTCGACTCTGCCCTTAAAGGAAGGGCAGAGAGGAAATGACTGCCATTTATGCCACACTCACAGTGTCAGTATTACTGAGTTTCCAAAATCAAGCCTGGAGCCTCAGAACCCAGTCAGGACGGAGCGCCAGGCCCAACCCATCTGCACTGGGGGCACACCAATGGGCGGGACGTCGCAGGGAGAGCTACGTGGATGAGAGGCGTGGCCGGCTCGGCCTGCCCAGGGCTGTCCTCCGAAGACCCATCACAGGACTGCCAAGATTCCGTGGACTGGGACACGGAGCAAACGGCACACAGCACAGGGCAGGGGCTGGTGCCCACACGGACTGGCATCCTGGGCACACGCCATGGGGTGAGCAGTCAGGCTCCAGTCTTCAAGGGCACCCAGCCTACAAAAAGCTTCCCCAGCAAAGCATACGGCCTGGCAAACGGCCAGGCCTGTGGTGTAAGCCACATGCTGCGCTTTGCCGCTGTTGCCGTGTGAGCAGCCCTGCCCGGCCCCACAGACCCCACGCAGCGCGGTCAGCCAGACTGCACGCAGAGCCCAAGAACAAGAACTGCCAGCAACCAGCAAGTTCTCCACCCTATTAGTGACTTAGACTGACACTCCTACCGATAAAAGTGCTGAATGATAAAGGCGATTTTCTCAAATGTAGCTGGTGAACACCGACTGTAATGCTCCTCTCAAAAACAACTTCACCAAAGAGATCCCTAAGGAGTCAAACATCTGCCTATCCTATGACATCAACTTGAGTAAATCGCTGACAGCAGTAGTTGCATTCAACACAAAGCTTCAAGCATCCCAGGATGTTCACAAGTGTAAAACCAAGGCCACGGTGAAATGCTTCCTGGGACACTCCCAACAGTTATGGGGTAATAAGACTTACTCTCGCTTACCCGGTGTTCCTAGGGGCCCCCCGAGCCTGCTCCACCAAATGGGTCACCCCACCCACTACAGGAAAACCGAGACTCACCCAGGGACCCAAGCCAAGACACTGCAGTGTGACTTGTGCTTGCGCCTCTCACACAGTACAAGATCATCTAGCCCAACAACGTGAGTTGAAACACGCTTTCTGGCACCACAATTTTAATCTGTGAGATTGAAACACCCTTTCCAACATGCAACATGCCTGACCTCCCTCATCCCAATGCTCTGAAGCTGAGATAACCCACTTAGGCATGTCTCATTTTTAACTTTGTCAGCCTTTGCATAATTCTGCAGTGCTCCTTTTAGAGCTCCTGTGAGATTTTTAAAATACCTTTTATCATTTCCAGTAATAATGCGTTAGGGTCTCTCAACACTCTACGGCACAGGGGCCATTTCTGTGTGCTTCCCAACGAGGTCCACACAGCCAGGGGTCCTCGGCGGCCGCCCACCCTTCGGCGAGCTCTCATTCCACTTATGTCCAGAACAAAACCACGTGGGGTGGCTTAACTGCAGCCGAAGTCTAATTTAATATTCTGGCTGGAATGCTTTGTTATCAGTGGTAATCCTGACAGATTTTATAGACTGAAAAACAAAAGAAACGCCTGTTTTTGCTCACATTTCTCTCATCCTATGACTTTATCCATATACGGTCTTTAAATGAGCTGGCACCAAACGTAACTTAGAAAAGTAGAACATACTTTGAAGAATGAAGAGAACTGTACAGCTGTTTCTTCCCTTCCCATAGAAATGTTCCATATTAAAACGCTCAATGAACTACTAATCATTAACATAAGAAAATCTTCATATACTCCCCAGACTGAAGGAAACACACACGTCACTAAGTTCAGCTGCTGCCTTAGTGAACAGAAGGGGCAGTGAAGGGACACCGGAAGCCTGGGCACAAATCACACACAGACACAGGAGAGCCACAGGCCCCACTCAGGAAAGAATGCACCAAACACATTCGCGTTTATTTTCTTTTTTTTTTTAAGCAAATGACAAAGACCCAGTTTACCAGCTTTACTTTTTTAAACCCAAGCTTAACATTACATATTTAAACAATTGTCAAAACTTACTAACTTGCCAGCATTCATGCACAACTAGAAAACATCCTCAATTTATACTAAACGAGAAATGTATTACCATTAATATCTTTCACTACTAAATACTGAGGAAAACTGCAATTATTTTTGTGGAGGATTCATCCTGGCAATGTTAACTTCACAGCAGGCTGACACTACGTGGCTCACGTTTCAAACACAATGGAAAAGCAGGTCCGTGCTGGTGTTAGTGTACGAAAGTCACGGCCACCTCAGATTATGTTTAATAAAAAAGCAAAGTGCGTACAGAGATTTACAACAATTTTAAAGACAAAAAAATGGTCCTATTAAGTGGTCCCAACAATAAACTCAAAAGTCTATGACAAACAGGGCTCCGATGAGCTGCATATAAATACTTTAGATTAGGTACAGTTATAATCAAAGTCGAGTTCGTCTGAAATCTTCAAAAAAAAGCTCCTGTCAATCCTCAAATGATGCTTGTTAAGAGTTAAAATTCTGCTACACGTGTGCGTTGAGCTACTTGTTATCCAAGCGCAGCGGCTGCTCCTTACCATTTATCGTCAAGGACTTTAACTGGCCGTTTTCTTCAACTTCAACTCTTTCTTGACCATTCTCGACAATCCTGGAGGATAAAATGCATTTAAAAGCTTTTTACTGGAACTAAGTATAAGTGTGGACATACATGCATGTTTGTTTAAGGACTTATCTGTCATAGGTGTACATGAAATCACTGATTTTGAGGCTGGAAAGACAGTTGAGGCCAGCCTAGTGATGATAAATCTGTCTTAAAATAGATATATTCTGACAGACCCTATTTTGTCTCAAATACAATACAGCTTAACACTAATACGTACAAGCACAGGTACTGTTAATCAAAACGGTAAAAAGGTTTTCCATGTACCATTCAACAATGCCAGCAAAACTTACCTTCTCAAACACTACACATGGCTCTAAATAAAGTTTACTTCTAGAAAAACATTAAGCAGACGTGAACAAGGAAAACTAGCTCAGAGATTAGTGAAAGATTCTCCTGGTGCCAGACTGGACATATAGCCTGTCCTTCCCACTCTGGGCTGTGCAGAGTAGCTGTGGTACTGAGGAAACACTATGCCTACGTATTAAAATATTAAACAGAGAAGGCTGCTTACCTCTTTGTGGTGATTTTTCTGCCATTAACCATTTTGGTAGAAGTTGACACTGACTTGAAGTTGCCCATCCCACTACCACCAAATGCCGCGGAGGAGAATGAGGTGAGGCCCCCGTGACCTAGTGAACCGAAGGAAGTAAATCCTGTAGGAAAACAGCAGAGATCAGAGACAATACGTCCAATACCAACTCAATGCAGCAATTGCTGCGTTTCTCATCTTTACAGGAGACATCTGCTGTGAGCTGTGTGACTGAGACAGAATGGACCAAATCCACAGTAGAAGAAGGCCCAAGCGGACGCGTGCACAACCACGGGGGATGGAACAACCACTAGCAGCTGCCTTCCTGTCACACCCTCCCCCCTCTGCCTTCACAGGGCCCTGCTGGTCCTCCGCGGCACCCACCCTACTCACAGAGGACATCCTGGAGCAGGTGGGGGGTAAGAGGAGTCTGCGTCACCCTCCAACGGGGCCACTTCACCCCAGGGCGACAAACCCAACTTGCTGACCTTCTTGCAATGTGACCATGACATCAAATCTGAATTGTTCTAAAAGCTACAATAATTTTAGAAGAAATATTGCAAATAACTGTCTGAAAAATAAGGCTCCACGGCTGGTGGGCAATACCCTCAATCACACCATGGACTCTGGACTCTCCAAGCCACCAGAGAGGAAACCCTTCTTTCATACTGAAATCGGTCTGCCTGTTAGAGGGGCTCACTGCTTTTCCCATTTGCAAAATGTTCACATTCGGACAAAAGGCCACACTCCCTGAACAAGACTTTATAAGGCTCCTTAAAGGTAAGAACCAAACCGACATGCACACCTCACATTAACCGCACATTTCTTAAGTACTATCCGTCACCTTTTCAGCCAGCTTTCTTCTCCCCCCACCGACACTGCCACATGTCACATTCAGCACATTCATGGCATCTACTCAGGATGTACTGGACAAAAGCACTAAAGGCACCTTCATGCTAATAAAGTCCGACCAAATGGACAACTCGCCTGCATGTCATCAGCATACTATCTGAAGAACATTTTGGGCTGCGTCACACAGGCCATCTCCGTAAAAGCACTGCCATTCCTACCACACAGCTTTTAAATAAAAATGAGAGAATCAGAAAACAGTCCCTGTTACGAGAAACTAGAGGATCTTCAAAAACGAGAATCCTGAGCCTCAGCGCAAGGCTGTGCCGCGGGCTGTGGACCTGTCCAGTGGACCAGCCCTTACACAGACCGCTGCTTCAGGGGGAGGGCTGGTGGGGGACGCCTGGCCAGGCTGTGGCTGCACAGACCTTGGGTTGTGCTGAAGCCCCGCACTGGTCCCTTCAACTCGAACCCCCCCCGGGAAATTACTTGTCTGCTTTCTTTCTGCCATGGAGGTTAGACTTGGTGAGACTGTCTAAGTGGATTATTCCGAGTTACTTACCCAGAAACACAATACTCTTTTTAATCAAGAATTTCATTATAAGTGGACCTTTAACTGTAAGATTAGGAGTAGATTCTCAAGTATAAGATTCTTAGAAAGATTAGAAAGAAATGTAGGTCACTAAGCACAAGTATGTACACATAAAAAATACTGGCCTATCTACAAAGCTTTTCTATCAAAAGGAATACATGTGCTTCAAACTGCCCTCATGAGAATATTGTATTTATCAGCACTAATTTCTGTTCAGATAACAAAGACTAAATCTATAGATTTAATACCTGTATCAAAAGAAGGAAATCCTCCTCCAAAAGGCGGAAATCCACTGAAGGCAGAGAAAAATGGCCCCGTCCCTCGGTTCCTGCTTCCGCGGTGAGCCCTTCGATTCCCAAAAAACTCTTCAAATGGGTCTTCTAAAAACAAACATGCATTTTGTCAAGTATTTATTCACATTAATTTTTTCATGAAAGAGCTGCAATAAGGGAAAATCGGTTAATGCCATGTAACACATTATTCCATGAGGAACAAAAAACTTGCCAAGAAGTTATAATAATGAATCTCATCTACAAAGCAACTCAAAGTCCACCTGGCCCAGCAGTTTCAATTACTCATTAATTCAAGCTAGAGTACATTAGGGAATAAACCACCAGACTGATGTAAAAATACGGTGCGTATGAAAATAATAATGAAATCGGATCATTCCTGTGCGCTTCAAACCTGGGCATAGCCCTGTTTTCGCACAACCTTTTACTCAAAGTCCCCGCCTGACACGGTCCGTTGCGGCCCTCTGAAAGGTGAAGATGCTTCACACAGATGTGGGGCTGTATTCACGGAGGCTGAACTGCCTTCCTCCAACGTAGTTCAGAAATAGAAATAGAAATAAAAATGGGTTATACCAACATTTAGAGAGAATTTTACACCAAATGAGGCAAATTTTACAGCTGGTGATTTCGGGCTGTGGACATTAGGAGTTCCTTTTACTTTTCTGTAAGCCTGATGTCACAAAGAATTTTAGAAAGGATTAGCTGGAAATCAAATCTAAATAAATATTAAAATTGGCAGACATAACATGCTTTATTTTAATAGAAAATAACTGATACAAATACTCATCACATTGCTACCAAAGACAGCAAATGTCCCTGGAAATAAAAATAAGCTCAGCCCTAACAGCTCACAGAATTTTTCTGGCTGACCATCAATGAGTACTTAAGGGAAAGCATGAATTACACAAATTTCTGAAAGGTTTAGAACTAAGGTTCTAACAAAATTAGTGCTGTAATTTTTCGGGGAACTGAGAATTCCACAAAAAAGTAAAAACAAGGAATCCTGAAGAAGGGTGAACTAGAAATACAAGAAGGGGAAAGAGAAAAGCAACCTGACACACATGTAGCAGAACTAGGAAGGTGCGTTTTTAAGACAGGGAAGAGTGTCCAAAGCAGAGTTGGTAGGTAAACTTGAATCTAGTGAAATGAAAGGAGATGGCAGAGGAAACACGGTGAGCAGGAGACCGAGCAGCCACCGAGATCCAGGATTCAACTGACCTCTCATGACCAGGTATGACCTGAGAACGGGCCAGGTCGGCCCCGGGCAATGCACACATGGTTATGGACCTCAAGGGATGCCAAGCTTGGCAAGGCTGAGGCAGCTTCAGGAAAGCCCAGAACAGGGGCAGGTGAAAAAGCAGACAGACAAGCCCAGCCTCTTAGGGAGCCTGAACAGAACCCAGCCAGCCAGCTTTATCTAATGCCAAATGCAGAAAACCGGACCTGAAGAAGAAAACATTCAGACAAACCAGTCACTGCTGGCTACTGAGAGATCTAGAAAGGAGAATGCGCTGGAGGAGGCGAAGCAGAGACCTGCTCCACAGCACCTGCCAGAGGGTGTGGACGGGGGGTGCTCATTATCAAGTTGACCCAACACTGTACTCACTTTACCATAACCCACAGAAAATGCCACTCTTTACAAAGTAATTTTAGGAAATTCATTTGTAACCATTTGCAAGTCGCTTTGTAAACAGGGCTTACAATTCCATTATTACAGTATTTAGGAATGTGAATAGGAGTGTGAATAAATAATTTTACCAGAAACTTCATTGAAATCTAATGTTTTCTGAATTTCTCCAGACTCTATCCTAATTCAAATAAAACCCAAGCATTCTATTCAGTAACTCATGCTTTACCTTACCAGCACGGCCAACACAGTCACGTTTCCTACACAGCAGACCTTCAAAACGGCAATTAGCACCCCTCCAATGGCCACCGAGATTAAGAAACAGAAATCTTAGAAACAAGAGTTTAAACTCTGTGCAGCAGTTCTTACTGTTAAGAATTTACGTGACCAGCTTTAGGCTTTACCACCACACACAGTCCCTTCCCCACTGTTTGGCATGCTCCACAACCTCATTGACACTGGAGCACAGTCTGCCTGTAAAACAACATCCCCATTGTTACGGCTGTGAAAACTATTCCTTTAGGTTCAAGAACATTTAATACTTAAACAATGTTCCCAAGACTTCTGAGTGCAGCTGTCTGTGTGGATACCAGTGTCCATGTGGATACCACTACTAAGAAAGTGGTTTTAGTGTTTATATTCTAAGTTCAATAAAAACTTTCAGTTATAAAATCACCTTCTTTATAAGCTACTTCAAAAGTTGGTTTAGAAGTACATTATGAAAGTAAGGACAGTGCCTAGCCACGATCAGGAAATACAAAGAAAAGGCATCCAGGTAGGCAAGAAAGAAGTTAAACTACCCGTTTGCAGATGACATGATATTGTACATAAAAAACCCTAAAGAACCCACTCCAAAACTGCTAGATCTAATATCTGCATTCAGCAAAGTTGCGGGATGCAAAATACACAGAAATCTGTGGCTTTCCTATACACTAACAATGAACTAGCAGAAAGAGAAATCAGGAAAACAATCCGATTCACAACTGCATCAAAAAGAATAAAAAACCTGGGAATGAACCTAACCAAGGAAGTGAAAGACCTATACCCTGAAAACTACAAGACACTCGTGAGAGAAATTAAAGAAGATACCAATAAATGGAAACACACCCCATGCTCATGGATAGGAAAAATTAATACTGTCAAAATGGCCATCCTGCCTAAAGCAACCAACAGATTCAGTGCAATCCCTATCAAAATACCAACAGCATTCTTCAGCGAACTGGAACAAATAGTTCTAAAATTCATATGGAAACACAGAAGACCCCCAAATAGCCAAAGCAATCCCAAGAAGGAATAATAAAACTGGGGGGATTACGCTCCCTGACTTCAAGCTCTACTGCAAAGCTACAGTAATCAAGACAGTTTGGTACTGGCACAAGAACTGACCCATAGACCAGTGGAACAGACTAGAGAGTCCAGATATAAACCCAAACATACAGGGTCAATTAATATACAATAAAGGAGCCATGGATATACAATGGGGAAAAGACAGCCTCTTCAACAGCTGGTGTTGGCAAAACTGCACAGCTACATGCAAGAGAATGAAACTGGATTATTGTCTAACCCCATACACAGAAGTAAACTCGAAATGGATCAAAGACCTGAATGTAAATGATGAAACCATAAAACTCTTAGAAGACAACATAGGCAAAAATCTCTTGAATATAAACATTAGCAACTTTTTCCTGAAGGCATCTCCTCGGGCAAGGGAAACAAGCAAAAATGAACACATGGGACTACATCAAGCTAAAAAGCTTCTGAACAGCAAAGGACTCCATCAGCAGAACAAAGAGGCATCCTACAGTATGGGAGAATGTATTTGTAAATGACATATCTGACAAGGGATTAACATCTAAAATATATAAAGAACTATACACCTCAACACCCAAAAAGCAAGTAACCCAAAAATGGGCAGAGGATATAAACAGACCCTTCTCCAAAGAAGAAATTCAGATGGCCAACAGGCACAAGAAAAGATGCTCCACACATCGCTAATTGTCAGGGAAATGCAAATTAAAACCACAATGAGATATCACCTCACACCAGTTAGGATGCCCAGCATCCAAAAAGACTAAGAACAACAAATATTGGAGAGGGAACCCTCCTACACTACTGGTGGGCATGCAAATTAGTTAAACCATTGTGGAAAGCAGTATGGAGGTTCCTCAAGAAACTAAAAATAGAAATACCATTTGACTGGGGAATCCCAGTCCTTGGAATTTACCCAAAGAAAACAACTTATCAGATTCAAAAAGACAGATGCACCCCTATGTTTATCGCAGCACTATTTACAATAGCCAAGATATGGAAGCAACATAAGTGTCCATGAGTAGATGAGGATAAAGAAGATGTACACATTCACAATGGAATACTTTTAGGTCGTAAAGAAAAAACAAATCCTGCCACTTGCAACATGGATGGAGCTGGAGGACATTATGCTCAGTGAAGTCAGTCAGGCAGAAAAAGACAAGTACCAAATGATTTCCCTCATTTGTGGAGTATGACGACGAAGCAAAACTGAAGGAACAAAATAGCAGCAGACTCACAGACTCCATGAAAGGACGAGTGGTTGGTCACCAAAGGGGAGGCGTGTGGGAGGGCAGGCGGGGAGGGAGGGAGAAGGGTATTGTGGGGTATCATGATTGGTGCACATGGTGTGTGTGGGGTCACGGGGAAGACAGTGTAGCACAGAGAAGGCAAATAGGGACTCTGTGGCATCTGACTACACTGACGGACAGTGACTGCAATGGGGTATGGGGGGGACTCGATAATATGGGTGAGTGTAAATAACCATTGTTTTTCTTGTGAAACCTTCATAAGTATTTATCAGTGATACCTTAATAAAAAAAATGAAGTCTCACAATAATGGTGACACAAGAAACATTTTTTTAATGTCATGCCTATGGGGACATGCTGTTTAAAGCAGCCCCCGTGATATGAGACAGATCCTTATTAAGAGCTTTCTGTCACTGGTTTTTGCCCTTTTAAAAAGCAATATGAGAGTGTGTATGGTAAGCTATCATCTTCAGCCCCATTAGATAGCTTTTAGAAACCCTTCAACCCAGCAATGCAACTTCAGGGAAACCAGCTCATCCCGGAGGGAGACGGCTTGTGCACTGAGGGCTCAGAGCCTTACAGGCTTCCTCGCCCCCAAAGCGGTGTGTTCCCTGTGAGGATCTGTGAGCCAGCAGGGTGGGGCACAGAGCCAGCGCAAACAAGCACGCCACCTCGCTTTTCCAGAAGACCTACCACCCAGAGAAATCCAAAGGAGATTCTTCACTGTCACGGTAAAAGCCTTTGCCATGCTATCGTAAGCAGGTCTTCATGAATGTGACATGGCAGAGCTTGAAGTCTGGAAGGCAGGGGATACCTGTACTTATTCTGAATAGTTAAGATAACCTACTTTTCCATCAGAGGAGGTAACCTAACCAGTGAGCCTGTACAGAACAGATTTTTAAGTGGT